GAGCACCTCCCCCACGCCGCCGCCGCTCCGCAGCCCGTGGCTCAGCACGGTGACGATGCACATCAGCAGGGTCTCGCACGTGTGCTCCTTGTCCTGCTCCGGCTCCTCGGCCGGGCGCAGCGCTGCGGACGCGACAGAGCGGGAGAAGGAAGTGAAGGCCCGGGCGCCACACGCCTCCTTCTGAGGGGCTGAAGCCCGGGCACTTCTGTTTTCACCGCTGCCCCCTGCTCACCTCTCCAGCCGGGCCAGACCTGCCCTCCCACCTCGGAATCTAAGCACTCCCCGTCCTTCTCAGGGGTAAACACCAGCCCAGCGCCGACCTCAGAGAAGCTGCTCCTACCCTGAGCCACAGCCTCTCCCCGCTCAGCTGGGGGCAAGGCCACCAGGCTCCTCACTGCCGTGCTGTAGGGGCTACACCTGGCAGCAGCTAGAGCGGCTCCTCTGATGAAACCGCTTTATGCTGGAGGCTGTCCACTGCTTTTTGGAGGAAAAAAGCAGTGACCTTTCTACCTTCATTCTTTTCCCCAGCTGCAGAGAGACGGGCCTTGCTGACACACACATCTCATCATATCACTCCCCTTTCAACAACTTCCAATCATCCGTTGGATGAAATGTAACCTCCCTAGCCTGACGTATAAGACCTTTCGTGATCCGACCCTTTGCCAGCCTGGCCGGCTTCATTTCTTGTTATTCTTCTTCCTCATAAACCACATCTCCCTAAACCTGCTGTATTCTACTCCAAGCTTTCAGGCGGGCTGTTCCCTCGGCCTTCACCGGATAGTCCGCTGTTTTGGTTTAGCTGTCACTTCCTGGTGATACTCCCACTGCTCTATGAGGCTGGGTGCCTATCTTCCGTGTTCCATCCTTACTCCCAGCATTCAGCAGGTCTCAGGTGACCCCCACCTGCCCGCCTGCCACCCCCGACCCATGTCACTGTAGCTTAGAATACAACGGCCCCTGGCAGACAGTGGGCCCCAGGAAGTCCTAGCTGAATCCATGAAGCCGGCCTTTCTTCCCACAGAGCCTTACTTCCCGGTCTCCCTCGGCTCCCCAGCCTTTCCCGGCGGCCACCGGCCTCACGTCTGGGCCTCCAGAGGGGCCTGGCAGTAACACGGGGCTGCAGGCTACGGGGTCCTACCTTCCTGGGGTGCAGGAGAGGAGCAGTTCTCCCCAGCCCCCACCCGGCACACGTCCGAGAACAGGAACTCGCTGGCCAAGCTCTCGCCGGCCTCTGGGAGAGAGAAGGACACTGTGACGCACAACCTCGCGCAGACGCCACCCCACAGCCCTGCCCGCACGGTCAAGGCGGAGACGCCCCGGCACGTCTGCTTGGTGACCCGGGCGGGGCAGGGGCTGGGGATCCGCACAGCGCCAGCACCTCTCTCCCCGGAAATGCCAACGGCCGAGACTGACCGCACGGCCGGACGCGCAGACCCGGCCAGGCTCACACCGAGTCGGCACCGGGCCTGGCAGCGGCACCGGCGAAAACCCAGGTGGGACCCGAGAGGCTCAGACCCCGCAGGTCGGAGGAAACGCCATTCCGTGTCCACCTGGAGGCTGCAGTGGCCGCAGCACCGGGCGGGGGACAGGCTGCCCGGCTCTGTCTCGCCCACCCAGGCTGGTTCCCCGTTGCGGGCGCCTGGCGACCGGATGCCAACGGGTGGCATCTCCCTGAGTGTGTCCATGGTTTGAATGCAGGGCAGAGAGCCCTGGTGCCACCCGGTACGTAAGTTTTTTTTTCATTCTCAGAGCTGGACCTCTCCTCTCTCCTTGCCATGAACGAAAATAACACAAGCCCGTGGTAAAAGCAAGAACGTCCCATAAGGGGCCACCGCTAGCAGCTGGAGTATCGCCATCCATATTTCAAGAAATGTGGACTTTTAATTTACAAACAAGCATGCCTGGCCCTGGCCGGCTTGCTCAGTGGTTAGACGCTGTCCATTCCCGGCCAAGGCACGGACCTTGGTTGCAGGTTTGGTCCCTGTCCCCAGCTGGGGCGGGTGCGGGAGACAACCAATCGATGTGTCTCTCTCACATCCATGTTTCTCTCCTCCCATCCTCCCTCCATTCCACTCTCTCAAAAAAAATCCATGGAAAAAAATATCCTCGGGTGAGGATTGAAAAAAAAACAAAAAGTGTGCCTGACCTCCTGTAGCGATTGCGCCACCTCCCACCACGTCCCGTGAAGGGTGCATGGCGCCTGCAGGGCCCGCCGCCGCCCGGGGGTGACTGCCACTCATGCACACGCCCGGCGCTCAGAGGCTCCCGGTTGCGGTCCGCAGTGAGCACCCCTCCGTGCACGCCTGTCCCCACGTGCGCCACAGAGGAGACAGTCCTGGGAGCGGCTTCCTCCGTCAGGGGCGCGCACGCCCGCCTCCGAGAGGTCACGTCAGTCTTTCAGGGAAAAGCTGTGCCACTGGCAGGCGGGATCGTCGTGCGTGAGCTCAGTGCGGGCTCTGGGCCCGCCCCCTGCGCCCCCGAGGGGCCACGCTGAGCCTCGGATACAATGAGAACCAAACTGGTGTCCCAGGCTCCTGCCCTGGGTGTCAGGGAGACCCCCGCGCGGCTCAGGGCGCCGCGCCCTGCGGTCGGGGACACGCGGGGAACGCCCTCCACCCGCGGAGCCCGGCGCACCTGGGAGGGCGGTGTCGTTGGGCAGCGGGTCCACCTCCAGCAGGAAGTCGGCCTTGAAGAAGAGGTAGCCCACGATGGAGAAGAGGTAGACCAGGATCAGCGCCAGCACCGCCGTCAGGATGATGGAGCGCCCGTTGCGGGTGACGCTCTTGATGACGTTGAGCAGCGTCTCCTCTCTGTACACCAGGTCAAAGAGCTGCCAGGCAAACAGGAGACGACGGGGTGCTTCAGGGCGCCCCCGATGGGACGCACACCCATGGACAGGCCTCGCCCTCGGGCAGCTCAGAAGCGTCATGTGGTTACCCTGCTCTTCTCACCTGCCCGTCTCCACAGCGAAGGGCGGGATGGTGGAAACGGGGGGATAACCAGAGAAGGGAGGCGGGAAACAGCAGTGCCAGGGGCACATTCAGTCCCGAGGTGCTGGGCATCGAGCACGGGGCTGCACCAGTGAGACTGGGCCTGGGCCGGGGGCGGGGGGGGGG